CAGCGGGGTCAACACACCGTCCGACCTAGCTACGACCATCACTGATTGTAGTGGACTGGACATTGAATGTTATCAAGGGAGTCGTAAACCTACAACTTCCTAGTGCATCTACTTGTACTTGTACTTGTAGAACATGTTCTACAAGTACAAGTACAAGTAGATGCACTAGGAGGCATGGACGGTTTGATGGACTTCTTGTGTGCTCTGGATGGCAGTCGTTAGTCAGTGCAAATACAAGTCGGCAGGAAAACCGCGAGCTCCCATGTAGGGAGCAACACTCTCTTCTTCTGCCAAGTATGATTTAAATTACCCTTCGCGGCTTCGGGATTCTCACCTACCGGTAAAGCCTACAGTCCCTACACTATTATACAACAGCTTCTCGCCCTATAAAAGCTGCTGCTCACAATTCACTTCCACTTCCGTTCTCTTCTGTTCTGTTCTGTCCTCTTCTCAGTCTTCAGTTCAGTTCAGTAGTTAGAGGTATCTTTTCGAGTTCAGAAGTAGTGTTCACTGAAACCCGAGTGTGTTTGTCTCCGAGAGAGACTGCGGCCGCTACACATGTATTTGTAACTTTCAATTGTATTTTTGTGTTTGTGTTTTAGTAGTGCATTCCCAACAGACGTAGACTGACCCAAGCCCAAGCCAAGGACTTGGGAGTTGGGTGACTTCAACTCGAACTGACTTGGGACCCTTTTGATTGATTTTTATTTCACGGATCCTCCAGAGGCAAATAGATGCCTATCGAAGGGAGTCTCCTCTTAGGCCGATTCCACACTACGCCGAAAGTGGCTTTGCCTTGAAGGCATAAAGTGGCTTATAAAGTGAAGCTGCATTCACACCTACAAGTGTCGATCACGGGACTTTGCTTTGAAGGTTAGACTGTGAGGCTTTCCCGTGCTTGATGTAGCAACGGCGGTAGTGGAGAGGCTCTTTGTTGGTCCAAATCCTCGAGTATCACCCATTTTCGCGTGCCCAATCTTGAAATTTGACCACGCTAGCGCGCGCTGTGTAGACGGATTCCAGATCATAGGTCGAATATTTGTCAACCTCGCCAACAGGCATTCCGGTGGCAGTTTTCGTTGTGTATGTCTCGTACAGTCCTTTCGCCTTCGTTTTCCTGTTGTCGATTTTGGAATGGACGATCGACGCAGTATAGATTGCCTCCTCCCGGAGCTGTTCAGCAAACAAAATCAGCTTGATGGCGATCTCCTCCGGCGTAGCTCCTGCGAACTGTACCGCCCGGAGGTCGCCTCAAATGTCCGCTCCAAAGCTCGATCAGCTTGCACTCAAGCTCCTGGCTAAACATGACCCTAGGCATTGTTGACAGCCCACAACTCACCACAACTGAAAGATACGACAGGGAACACATTCGGAAAAATCGAAAGGCTGAAGAAAAGTCAGAAAAGTGTCCTGTAAAAAGTTGCCTTGAAAGAGGGTGCTGGTGTTGCTTTGTAGACAACAAGCACTTTTCACTTTCGCGCGTTTCTCAAAGTGATCGCCATGGCAACTTGCCTGAAAAGTGCCTGAAAAATGGCTTTTTAGGCAGGATTTGGTGTAGTGTGGAATCGGCCTAGGCCGCGGTCACACATGAAAAGCTTGCACCGCTTTTGCGGAGGCGGAACTACCGCAGCCGCTTTGGCGGACCACACGATGCAGCGGTCACACATACATGTAGACTACTGTGCTCCTCAACGCTCCGCTTTGGCGCAGAGAATGCAAATGCAGCACGTCCTATGAAATTTTAGATGTTCTTGTCTGAGTTGAAGCGGCCTTTGCTTGTACAAGTAGAGCTATCGTGGATCGCTGACAGGCTGCTGAATGTCTCCTGTCAAGTACACTCGTGGATTTGGGGCGCATTCACTGCGGCCCAGTACAGGTGTACTTGAATATTACTAGTTTGGTTTACATCAATATCAAATTCAAATAGTTGTATAGCAGGGTGTCGTGCCTCCTCAGTTCTTGTCCGAGTTGAAGCGACCTTCGCTTGTACAAGTAGAGCTATCGTGGATCGCTGACAGGCTGCTGAATGTCTCCTGTCAAGTACACTCGTGGATTTGGGGCACATTCACTGCGGCCCAGCACGGGTGTATTTGAATATTAGTTTAGTTTACATCAATATCAAATTCAAAATAATAGTTTTATAGCAGGGTGTCGTTGCCTCCTCCATGATCCATCATCGACCCAGCGACTGCGTGGATGCCTGCAGTTGCAGTGAGGGTGTGGCAGAGTACTCTACTACTCCCTGGTTGCAGTCCTAGTGTTGCATACTCTGGTGGACGTATTGCTTGGAGAGAGAAAGAAAGAGTTGGAGATCGTCCGCGATCGGGGCCAATGAGTTGGGAGACGGATTCCCTCACCAATTATCCACTCATAACGATGCAGTATTGTTTGCGAGATCTCCAGAACGTACAGTTCATTGGCAAAGAAGAACAATATGAAAACTGAATACCAAACGGCAACCAAACAACACCAGAACTCAGTGCAGAAGTACCACACCAAACTCCAAAGCCATCACCATGCAGGTTCCGCCAAAGCGGATCCGCGAAAGCGGAGGCTCCGCTCGCATTTTTTTGGCGTAGCGAAATCCAAACTTTCCGCCAAAGCGTAACTTACGCCTCCGCCGTTGCCGAGGCAACGGCGGAAGCGTAAGTTACGCTTTGCATTTGGCGGAACCGCCAAAAAAAGTGCATGTGTGACCGGGGCCGTAAGTATGGAAAATGAGAAAGTATGTTCGTTTGGGAGAAGAGGTAGCACAATAACGGTCACGTGATCCGAGACGGGGGCATCCTCTTCGATTTTTGTGCAGAGTATCAGTTGTTGAGCATGGTGGAACACTGTATTTTTCCATTTTGGAGAAGGAGGAGAGAGTCTCGAGTGGTATGCTATCGATGGCTGTGGAACCCGTGGACGAACTGTCAAATGAAGATCGGTTGTGTAAGGAACTGAACAGTTTTCTGCTGAATGAGGGTGCGTATCTGTCTGGAAAAAGAAGGAGTTGTTGGAGCGGTACGTTTTCCGCATTCAGTGGATATTTCGGATTACTGTAGATTGAAATTTATTTTATTTTCTCTACCTTCTCTCCTCTGTCGATGTAGAGAACACTTCTCTATGCAGAACCCTGATGCTCCTAGAACTAAGAAGGGCACCACTTCCTCGAGTGTACCTTCACCATGCCCAACATTTCATGCGTCCCAGTGAATGAGTGATGAACCTCTGTTTCCCAGAGTGAGTGCCACACCATGCTTGCTCGTCTCCAACGCAGGGGCAAGTCGCCGACGACAGTGAAGAGGGAGCTGATGGAGTAGTACTAATGAACAAGCCCGTGGATAGTGTCCATGAGTTTTACTTTGGTGGCTATGTGCATAATGTGAAAGTCTGTCATATCGTGCACACAGCCACAGCTCGAACTCAGATGACTTTCTCCGCACACCTGAGCGATGAGGCTGCGTCTCTCTCCACTTCAACAACAGCAGCTCGAGCAGCGCCAGCAAGTAGTCGATCTTCCAATAGCGAAGACAGGGATAGGTCATGCCTTTTTCTTGAGCTCCAGAGTCTCTTGGCAGGGCGTTCTATCTCTTTCCAAAAGCAAGGATGAAAGTCGTCATGGACAAAGTGTTCCGAGCACAACACTGTAAACGATATCGCAGCACTGCGGCCCTCCTCTCGCCAGATAGCCAGGATTCCAGAGTGTGGAATGCCAGTATCACCAGGGAACGCATAGAAAGACAAGTGGTTTCCTTAGACTAACGTTAGGGATGACGGTTGCTGCAAACAAGAACCCAACAGTGGTCCTTGGAAAGCATTTCGGAACTTACTTCTTCCTTCAAAACTAAAAAACTTCAAATGAAAAAAGGCTGGGGAGTACATACATGAACATCGCGTCGGGACCGTGAAAACACAGCCTGTCACAGGAAACTTGATCACGTCCGGCCTGCACCAAACCATGCATGCTGGTTGCATGCCAAGTGTGCATGTGCAGCGCGTGCACAGCATGCCCGTACCGTCTCCAGGGTCTCGACCCCTAGCCTAGGCGCTCGCTGCGCAAAGCCAAAGCGCCGCAAAGGGTCTATTTTACAGGGTGCCCATGTATGATGACGTAACCATGGTAACGCTGGAGTGACGAGGTTTGGCGCAGCGGCAGTGACCAGTACAGCCAACGACTACGTAGATGGTGTGGCCCCGCGGTCGGTGTTGGGTTACTTGCAAAATGTTGTCTTGCTTTTGTTTGGTTCGACCAAACGACGCTCGGAACTGAAACTGTCAGAAGAAAACCTGGAATTCCGCGCTACATCATGTAGTACATAACGACTGTACCAGTACCAGGCACAGACAGAGTCGACTAGTCAGTACTAGGAGACTCAGTACACGCATTCGATATTCTACGCGTATACCAGGTACTACTACCATGGTATACGCCCATCACCCCTGATCACGCATGTCAAGTCATGCACCAAGCCAAGGACAGGTCGTTAGTCAGATCTACGCGGTGGGTGGATGCAAATGTACCGGTGCCGCGCGCTTGCGCTGGTACAGGGAGTCTACGTACCATGCGTCGACTTCTACGGTACTGTGAGAGAGACCTACAACTACAAGTCTGGCCGTGGATAGTTGGGAGGAGATCTCTCTCATTGCGCAATTGCTCCAACATAACAAGCTTTGTAGTCTGCAGGCGCCTGCACTGCAGACTACAAAGCTTGTTCTGTTAGCCTAGGCCTAGGCCTAGGCCAGCAGTCTCTACTGTACTCATGTAGTGTAGACCTACATCGTGAATGTAATGATCATCTGCTCCTCCAGCCTAGACTATGAATGATTATGATGTGTGCAAGTCAGAGTTCGAGTGCGCTTCAAGGCAAGCTGAGAACTCTTTTTAGTCTGTTGCAGCATGCTCACACAACGCTGCAGCACGGAGTCTGTCCGCACACAAACCAACGAAGTAAAACCAGAACTGTCCGATCCAGGATAGTCACTCTACTGCATCGGTACTTTGCGTCAGGTTTACCTGTACACTGTGGTACACTGTGGTAGCTAGTTTCAAACGCTTCTGTCGCGTGGTGTGTGGTACATCGACGACCAGTCGTAATCGTTGTCCTGTGATTTGGGACGGGCGTTTTTGCGCAGCTCCAAAGGACCAAAGGAGGAAATCTGTTGGTGTTCAGCGGAAAGAGGAAGCATCTCTAACGATGAAGGTGAGTAATACCGTAGTTGGTTTTCGTGAAGTAGTTTGGGAGCTCTCTGTAGTACTGCATGCTAGTAGCAGATCGTGTACCTATGCAATGACACATGGCTCATTGTGCTTACGGAACCTGCGGCGCGGTGGTGTGTGTCATTCCGGTGACGGGTGAGCGCTCCCTTCTTACAAGATGTATAAGTAGCACTCATGATAACCAGATAACACACCGACTGTCCTGCTCCATCAGGCATCATGGCTGCCGCTGTTTTACTTGTTGAAAATAAGCACGGTCGCAGTGCGACTGTTGTGTTCGCCCGCCTCTCGGCCGCAATGCGAATGACATTCGCATTGCGGCCGAGAGGCGGACACAACATTCACATTTGAGGCAGAGAGGCAGGCGGACACGACATTGTCGTGTCCGCCTCTCTGCCTCAAATGTGAATGTTGTGTCCGCCTCTCGGCCGCAAATGTGAATGCTGTGTAAACCGTTCAACCATGCAACCTTGTCCGGGTTGAAGAGAATCGACTTTTCCGCACGAAGGGTTTGGAATGGGAACGGATGATTCGAGCGCACTGGCTCTTCGATTTTTCGGATGATAAATCGTAAGATTTGCCGAGTGGAAGTTTCGACGGGCTTGTCGTGTGCTCCAGACGCAGTCGTGAGTCGGTCAAGTGTCAAGTATCAGTCGGCAGGAAGCGCGAGCTCCAACGTTCGGAGCAGACACTTTCTTCATGACATAAATCTTGAAATGAACAAAGAGTATGGTATAGACTATAGACTATAGTATAGGGAATCCCTGATGTGGCACCACTATAAGGGCATAAACATTTTGCTGCTGGCATACGAATAATACTAGTACAGTCGTCCCTCTCTAATCCGGCACTTTATAAACCAGCACCCTCTATAAACCAGCACAATTTTCAGTAGCCAAATGTCCTCTTCATGCACATTGCAGCAGTAGATCAGATTTGTTAATCCAGCACCCTCCCTAATCCAGCAGATTTCCGTGGCACAAATGGTGCCGGATTATAGAGGGACCACTGTAGTATAGGCTTGCAGAACCTTGACTACCTGTCACACTGCTCAATACACAGCGTGCAGAGCTTAGTACAAACGAAAATCCGGTGGAAGTCTTCTGGTGATTGCTTTTCAGCATGAAACTCGTGAGTAGAGACATTTCAAAATCACTTGTTCCACCGGATTTTCGTTTCTAGTATAAGCTTACGTTATGTTGGTCAGTTGTCATCCAGCATGGATACTACAGTATGATATCCAGCATGGATACTACAGTATGATCGGGTGCCGTAGAACACTTCGCCGAAGAACACTAATAGGCTGGAAAATGGTACAGATTGAAGAACAATCCAGGCTTGTTGTGCAGATCTAAGAACACTTGTACTGCTTTATACGTGGCATGATCACATCGCATGATGCTCTCCATGATCGAGGAAAAAGAATGCAACGACTGAAATCTAAACGTTTTAGAACACTGCCAGGTTGCACCTTGAGCCCCAGCGTTCTTCGGCGCCCGGTCTTACTGCATTGCACTCAACGAATACCAAGTTCGCGCGTACATACCCAGAGGCTGCACAAAACAAAACTGAACCCGTATCAAAATGATGACCTGAAAATCAATATTTTTGATACGAAACTTCAATCTTCAACCGGTGTGATCTATTTCAAGTAGCAAAGCTAGAAAAAGGTATGATCTATGTAACATTATCCCACACGCTACCCATGAAGACTGGGTGACAAAGCCTTATTTATTTATTTATTCACAATCACGTGGCACTAGCCAATGAAATGGTGATGTGGGCGATAGCCAGCCATGGCGGTAATAGAGCTAGAGGGGAGAAAGAAAAAGAACGAAAGGGGAACTGAAAAGCAGGAGAAGCTAGGGCAGGGCTGGATATCAACTAGTATGTTGCATTCTGCAGTAGCTGTGTGAATGTATTGTAACATTGGCAGGATTTTAGATGTTGTGGGAGGTGAGACCAATGGCGGTAAGCAAGGAAGAGAGGAGATGTTTGCATAGAGGCAGACCGCGCAATAGGGAAGCGGAGAGAGTTTCTGGTGCGCATGTCTTGAGAGAGACTTATGTTTGCATTTATAGTTATGCAAAGTGGTGTTTGCTCAAATCCCCACCATCAGCTCACTTGTCAGCGCCAAGACTCACATACAGGCAGAAACAATAATGATAATATTAGTATCAAACTCGGGTACTGAGCCAATACGGCAATAGTAGAATGCAGAGGTCTAGCCAGGATTTTATGCCAGCCGGCCAACGTTCTAGTTAAAATGCATCGTTCTGGGGGCTGCGCCCCCGGACCCCCCCCCCCCCCCCATCAGTCACATATCCACACAGACACACACACACACACACACACACACACACACACACACCACTACAAATCTTTCATTGCAGCTTGCATCTCCTTTCGCTTCGTCCATCATCATTCATTAGGCAGTTGTGACAATGTGATTATAGGTATTAAAATAAACAAAATATGAAAAAGGAAGCAAACAGCTACATGAGCACGGCTGTTCGCGCACGGACATCTAACAATATGGAGTCGTTCGGTGCGATTTACGTAACGCGGTACAAACCTCCTGAATACGATTGGAGTTTGCGTTTTGGGATGAAACTCATGTCACTCTCCGTGTGGTTCCACGATTTCGCAAGTCAAACCAGGATTTATTATTTGAAAGCGCTCGAGCGAGATACTCAATATCCAGACAATTTGAGAGAGAAGGAAGGTAAAAGGAACTCCTGCCGTGGTCAACCAGCATCCTGACCTTTTCGAACCTCTCCAAGCTGTCCCTGGTAGTCTGGATATTGACGCACGCACTGATTTTCAGCTTCTCCTCGCCGGGATCACGGGTGAAACTTTCAAATTTGCCGATATGCACTCGAACAAACGCACAATTGGATCTACATCACAATTTCGGGGCTATCTGTGTGCTTGCTGCCTTTTTCAGCAATACCCCACATGTCTACTGGGCAGTTTCCACCAGGCCTCGGCCTCCTGGACTCAACAGCGACTCCAGCGCCATGCCATCTGTCCCCTAAATCGCATGAAAAGGTAGCTCAGCATCGAACGCACGGGACCTGAAGTTTGTGCACGGGACGTGATAAAACTTGGTGAAGATAGCCAGAAGATAGTCCTCTACCTGGGAAAACTGAAAGCTAGACTGGGAAAACTCCTGAAAGGGCTTCTTGACGCAGGCATGTCAACGATGAATCAAGGAACGAGCGAGAAAGAAGGCTTGACTTGTGCAACGCGGAACAAACTGTTCCTGAGACGAAGTTGGCCATGTGAGGTACCAGCGGAAAGCTAGTTTCAAGAGGAACACGGAATACCTGTTTTCCGGGTAAACCTGGCCTGGTAGCTTTCTAAATCGAGCGAAAACCACAGCGAAATCGGCTGCTGAGAATTTGAAAATTCAAATTTCCTTGCCGATCCAGCCCAATCGAGACTTTTGGCTGCCATCTTGTTAAATGTCCAAATTTCGCGAAAAAAAACAGCCGTGTGAGCATGGATCATGTGTTCACCAAGGTCATGTCTGCATGCAGTGTACATTGGTCATCTGACAAGACCCAGCCTAGCCACAGCCGTGTACACCACCAGAAGCAGCGAACCATGACCCAACCTGTTACATTTTACTGACGTACTCAAGTGCATACTCAAGTGCATTTGAGCTTGAGTGAAGACTGAAGAGCTAGCACTGAGCCTGAGTAGCCAGTGCTACATACTGTACTGTACATACCTATGCCTAGGATATGGGTTGTACTCCACCATCTTGACTCAAGACAAGTGCTAGTGCAGTGCACTACAGTCTACATGGGGTGACTAAAATTACCCTTGGCTTGGAGGAGCTGTCTCAGCCGGCAGGCAGGTCCCCTCCCAGCCTCCCCTGCCGGCTGAGCTGAGCCGGCTTTGGCTAGATCACTGGAATGTAAAGATATGAAAGGACACATTGGTTACGAGTTATGAGTATAAACTGTCCTCAAACTGATAAGTATTAGTATCAGTTGTCTGCATGAGTGCTGCAGGATGAAACTTTGAGGTACGACTTTCTCTCTTTCGGTTGTTATACCCAGAGAATTATAATGACAATAGAGTACCTGCAGTTGACTTGTACGCCATGATTCCCCTCAGCACTCCCCTCATGATTCCCCTCATGATTCCCCTCATGATTCCCCTCAGCACTTCTCACCTTGCTCCCCCTTATGCTCAGGCTGCCCGTTTTAGAGCCATCAATTGCCTGATGATCGTAGTAATACGTGAAACTCAGAGTTGCGACACTGCTTCCAATCTCTCTCTTGTGACAATAGAGTATCAAGAGCGGTTGCTTGCCTCGAAAGCAAGGGTCTGTTGAGTGCGCATTTGCACAACATTTCCAAAAGATGCCCTATAACGCGCCTTATGGAGTCTCATGGGTGGGACCCGCTGACTGGCGCTGAGGCCTCAGAATGCTGAGAATGGTCCCCGCAAACTTGATGGGTGGGTCTGCTGTGCTGCAATTATATCTTGTAACAAAAATGACAGGCGCCTTGCACACTGCAACAGTTTGTTCTTGTTGTTCTATTTGTATTCGTACAAGTGAACAGGTATGAGGCAACAACAACAAGAATCTTTAAAATACTAAACTGGTGTTGAAAATGTGTGTGCGTGTGTGTGTGTGCACGCGTGTGTGTGTGTGTTTGTGTGTGTGTGTGTGTGTGTGTGTGTGTTTGTGTGTGTGTGTGTATGCATGTGTGCTGGTTCCCTGTGTGTATGCATGTGTGTGTGTGTGCACGCGTGTGTGTGTGTGTTTGTGTGTGTGTGTGTGTGCGTGTGTGTGTGTGTGTGTGTGTGTGTTTGTGTGTGTGTGTGTGTGTGTGTGTGTATGCATGTGTGCTGGTTCCCTGTGTGTATGCATGTGTGTGTATATGCAGTTCTACTGGATAGCCGGTGGTGTGGCTATACTGCTCATCTGGACCACAGCATGGATCAATGTCTCAGCTCAGGTTCCTGGCATCAGTAAGTATCTAGTCTACAGCTTATTATGTACTCCCATAGCCGCTTCCTGGGCAACCCTTCGCCATCATTTTATGGGGTCGTCATCCTGAGAGAGAGAGAGAGAGAGAGAGAGAGAGAGAGAGAGAGAGAGAGAGAGAGAGAGAGAGAGAGAGAGAGAGAGAGAGAGAGAGAGAGAGAGCGGAGAGAGAGAGAGCGCGCGCGAGAGAGAGAGCGCGCGAGAGAGAGAGCGCGCGAGAGAGAGAGAGAGAGAGAGAGAGAGAGAGCGAGAGAGAGAGAGAGCGAGAGAGAGCGAGAGAGAGAGAGAGAGAGAGAGAGAGAGAGAGAGAGAGAGAGAGAGAGAGAGAGAGAGAGAGAGAGAGAGAGAGAGAGAGAGAGAGAGAGAGAGAGAGAGCCCCATTCGTACTTCAATGTTCTGTTGGACCTGCCAGGATGTGCTAGCTGGGAAGAAAATAATGATCTGAGCATGGTTGCCTGCCATTGCTCTTCTTGTGATCCTTCAGATTATGAAGCGTGTGGTGACACGGAGACTTTCAATAGCACAAACATAACGGTGAATCCGGGCTACGTTAGCCAGGTATCACCGGCCAACGGTAACTTTGAGTTGAGCAGCGACAATGAGATTGGACTTCCGGTGGATGGCAGAGACGGTGATAGTGAGTAGATTTCCTCTGCAAGTGTATTATCGTATATGAGTGTATGTGCGTGTGTGTATGCGTGTATGTGCGTGGATGTGCATGGATGTGTGTGTGTGTGTGTGTGCTCCCCGTCGTCGCTGGACGGATGTGATTTTCGGCTGATCTTCGGCACATCAGCATTGAACATCTGGCTTGGTATGGGATTGCTCAGGATCGGTCTGCCTGGCGAGTGTCTGGCGTTGAGCCGAGCCTCGGCGGTCCTTCCCATGACCAATCTCAACGGGTGGACTGTCTTATCTGCCACCGTTCGTTTCGTCGGCCAGGTGACAAAGCAAGACACAAGTGTAGCGCAGAGCGAAGTCTCCCCATCCAGGATCAGCGTGGTGCTGTGCAGTGTGGTACATGCAGGAGGTGGTTTCACTCTCGTGGTGGCTTGCGTGTACATCATTGTTTGCCCCTGGAACCATCGGAAGCGTCCGCGCCGGCATCACCTATTCCGCTCAACGTCCCAGCTTCTCTCTTGTGTGTGACATGCAATCGGCAATTCAAGTCAGTGCCTGGTTTCAGACGTCACAAGTGCGACCGTGGCCATCGAGCAACCGAGTCTGATAGAGCGTCATATGGTGTTCGCTGTTCTCGCTGCAACCGTCAGTTCCGTCGACAGAGTGACCTGAGTCACCATCTCCGTTTCTGCTCCTGACAATGACTCTGGCTCCTTTCTGAGTGGTGTGGCCCTTGTGGCAACCAAGCTACAGTACTAGTAGTAGTAGTAGTGTGTGTGTGTGTGTGTGTGTGTGTGTGTGTGTGTGTGTGTGTGTGTGTGTGTGTATGTGTGTGTGTGTGTGTGTGTGTGTGTGTGTGTTTGTGTATGTGTGTGTGTGTGTGTGTGTGTGTGTGTGTGTGTGTGTGTGTGTGTGTGTGTGTATGTGCGTGGATGTGTGTGTGTGGGGGGGGGGGGGAGGAGTATGTGGGATGCACGGGTGTGGGTACATGTGTGTGTGGGTATGTGCGTGTGTGGGTTGGAAGAACACTGTCCAGGCTGATCTGAGTGTAGCTGGTGTGCACAATAGTTAGTTCGAATCGGCCAACGGTCGCAGAGAGTGGTGTGATATTGTGTTGGCAGCAGTGAAGGTGAATGAGCCTGCCCCGAAGACGATTGTGTGCCACGTCTGCAGCCGCCTGTTTCGCCGTCGCTCTGACATGGCCCGGCACAAGTGTACAGCAATCCGGCAGCTCCCCGTACCACAACAGCCTGGGTCAGTGCAGTGTCCTGCCTGCAGCAAATGGCTCCGGAGCAAGGGTGGGCTTGCAGTGCATAATTGTCAACGGAGTGACAATTGTGACGACCAGCCGCCTGGTGATGCTCCTCCTTTTGCCGAGGTCTTGGTATGTACAGCCTGCCATCGTACTTTCAAGTCTGTTGCAGGCCTCAAGCGCCATCTCTGTGGACCTCGCCTCAAGCGCCCCACGGTGACTGATCGCCAGGACTTTGAACATCATTGCCAAGTTCAATCAACACCAGTTTCGGAGGCGTCAGGACCCGGAGCGTCATTTGAAGCACTGCGTACCTCTCCCCTCACCTCGCTGACAGTACCTCCCTTCGGGGAGCGGCGTGGCCATTTCAGGCAGCTTTCAATAGTAGTACAATGTAGACTGTTGTTGTAGTGTGCGTGTGCATGTATGAAGGGGGAGGGAGGGAGGGGGGGGGGGGGGGTGTACCGGTATACGAGGGGCATGAATTCGTATGTGTGTATCATTATGTGCGTGTGTGTGTGGGGGGGGGGGGGGGGGGATCCATGGAGCGGCACATTTTTGGGTCATTGCAATGTGGAGTCATAACTTCAGTTCTTTCATTATTATTGTGTTCTGTCTTCAGGCCCGTACCTTGTGTTCGAGCCTTACCAGGCTCAGGAAACACTCCTGTTGCCGGGAGCAACGGCAAGGTTCAGCCTGGGCTTTCTGCCGCGTCCGAGTTACGGAGTGGCGTGCACCGCTAGCTTCTACTACCAGCAGCGTGGGCACAGTCGCCTGGTGGTCTACCAGGAGAACAACGGTGTGCCAGAGCCCGTCTGGGCGTCCAATAAGGACACGCCACCCGGCCAGTGGGTCCTAGTGCGCACCAAGATTCCCGCCACCATGTTCTCCGCCTCTCATGTGAGTGGAAGCATTCCATGTAATGACAGGGCCGCCCGATTAATTGATTGTTTTTGGAAGAATTTGTGAGTAGAAGCATTCCATGCAATCACAGGGCTGCCCGACTAATTGATTGTTTTGGAAGAATTTGTGAGTGAAAGCATTCCATGCAATCACAGGGCTGCCCGACTAATTGATTGTTTTTGGAAGAATTTGTGAGTGGAAGCATTCCATGCAATGACAGGGCTGCCACTAATTGATTATTTTTGGAAGAATGTGTGAGTGGAAGCATTCCATGCAATGACAGGGCTGCCCGACTAATCAGGCGCGTAGCACCGCCGTTGGCGGTGGTCCGGCCAGGCCAGGGGGTGGGGGTCTGGGGGGATATCCCCCGTAATTTTTTTGAAATTAGAGTGCAAAATCCTGCATTCTGGGCACTTTTGACATTTTTTTACTATGGTGGTCGTGGTCGGGCGAAAAAGTGGTCCGGCCGAAGCCGGACCGGCCGGAGCCGCTGCTACGCCCCTGCTAATTGATTATTTTTGGAAGAATTTGTAGCCGAGAGACCGGTTTTTTGGGTAGTGGTGTATAAGTGTGTGAAACATGAACTGTGGCTATAGTGTAGTATGCACATCGTTAGGAAGGTGCCACTTTTCTGTTGGAAGAAATCTGAGTGGGGTCCTTGGGTGTCGCCCTGCCAGGGGTCGAAGGGAAAGGAGTACTGCTACCGTTATAAGGCAAGGCATTTGTAGGATTCTAAGAGCCTGGAGCAACAGATTAGGGCACTGTCGTGAACAATCCAAGTGAGAAAGATAGACTGTTTCGGTAAGTTTGTGGGAACGACCTGTGAAAACCGGAGTGTTTCCAAATAAGAAAGGTTTGCTCCCCACACCGGAGCTCGCGCTTTTCCGCCGACCCCACTTGACACTTGACTGACTCACGACTGCCATCCAGAGCACACGAGAAGTCCATCGAACCTTCGACTCGGCAAACCTGCAAGAAAGCACCACTCCCTGCTCAATACACAGTGTTTCGGGGAATTCACCCCTCATCAGGTCGCGGCCACTACTTCGTGCTGTTTCCAAATAATCGGAACAAATGGCAGTCCAGCAATGGGTGTAATGGGGACATGTACGGACATTTTGCTTTATTTTTGTTTTAGATGACATCTCCTGGCACGTCGAAAGACGGCCGATGCACAAAAACTCGTTGTTGTAGCCTAGTGAACACAGACCGCCATTGGGAATTGAGTGGAATTTGCGTTCTTTTCACAGGTAGAATATCTACAGGGGATTGCATCCAATAGGGGACTTGCAACCGTTTTTTTTTTTTTAATTTATACCCAAGCCTCTTGTGCGGGCAAGGCAAAATAATAAAAGTGCAACCTCAACAGGAAGAAAATGAACTAAAATGGCTGTGAACACAGTCTAATAATACCGAGAGAGCTCAAAGGGACTTGCAACCATATGTTGTGGTACAGTCAGGCCTCGAATAACTGCACACATCCGTTTTGCACAAGATATCCGGATAAGCGAGGGAACCGGATTATCGAACACACATACTGTATGCATGCATGGCATATGCCGTAAATCGGTAACCAACGATTTTCTTCCGGATGGCGAGGGATCCGGATAAAAGAGGACCGGATAAGCGAGGTCTGACTGTACAATGCTTAGTCGTGCACCCGGGAACAGGAGTCTATGGAAATACGGTAGAGCTCCCGTTGTCCGGGCGGGCTGGGATCGAGTACTGGCCGTAGCTAGCAATTTCCCGTAACTCAGAACGTATGTACATACTTATTGACGCATGAAAGACGTCACGTGTTATGCCAATCGATAGGTTTTGGGCCGTTTTGTTCCCTGACAAGCCGACTTGTGTGATTCGAGACGGGCCAGAAAGATGACCGGTAGAGGGAAGTGCCCGGAATAGGGTGTCCGGACAAGGGGAGTTGTGCTGTACTTGCTTATTTTGCAGTGTGTGCGTATGCCGTGTCCTTTGTCTGCAGTTTTTCATCGAGGCCACCATGGGTTACCCCAG